CCTGCCTTTTTCACAAAATATCCTAACCACATATGGTACATCTAGAATACAACTTTCAGATTTCTATTTATCATTGTGTTCAAATTAAGCTCAATCAAAATTACAGGTTATTTTATGGCAGTTTTCATATCACATCCTATATCAACCGCACAGCCAATGGCCAAAGGACTGTTATGGGAGCTGAGCGTAGATGAGGGATATAATATGAAAACAGCAACATAGTAACTTTCTTACCATCAACCATATGTTCAAATAAATTAATCTATCAATGTGTACATTATCCAGAACTTACATCCGTGTTCTGTCTGAGTTAATAAAGTTTTTTAACAGATTCTTGTCTATGCTGGTTAAAAGCAACAATTTGTTCACAAAACCTCCCTATCCATTTCGCTTTTCAATCTGTCCTAAGTTTTCTCTAAGATGGAGGATAGATCTAGCTCCAAAAATTCGATTTGCAAGTGAATACATTATATTTTGACCTTACTGCAAGCTGAGCAGGCAATGCACTAAGGGAGGTAACTCTGATTTCATACCACATGGGTTGATACTAACCTCCAGTTTATAACGTAGTAACAATATCAACCCTGCAGGGGGTGTTATGAGTGCAGTGTATCTTAGCTCTATCACACCTGTATATCATTGCTAGGTATGTGATAAATATGTTTATGACATAGCAGACAGTGTCATCGATACAGTAAACCATTCCAATAAACCTGGTTTCTGCGAGATCAATGTCTGCCTGCACAATAGTCTATTGACTACCGACCCCAAAGGTAGAAAGGGTTTCCAGGAGTGGATGATTCTGAGGACGACTCTTGACTGGAAATCATTTGGCACTATACGGTAAATAAGACAGTTCACTCCATACATTCATATATGGTTTCTGAAAAACACTTTTAATGACAGCAATTACTACTTTACCATCAATTACTGTTATGACATAACATTACTGACTGACTGAGTTTAGTTTTACGCCGCTTTTAGCAATATTCCAGCATATCCTGTGTGTGTTCGAACCGGGTCTTCGGTGATGAGTTTAACCACTAGGCTAAATATTATCCTGTGTGTTTCCGTGGTGTAAATATCAAGTGATGAACATCAATTATACTCATCAAAGGTTAGCTAAAGACAATTTTTCTTTCCAAATATATATTTACGATATAAAACAGTGCCATATCCGTCAGTTGTTAACACAGCACTGATGCCCTGAAAGTATCCTACCTCGACACTTGTCATGACACTGGATGTAATGCTCTCTTTACTTGCTGTGTGGTACTATATTTCTATAGTGATGTATATGTGTGCTATGATTCACGAGAATGAAATCTTAATGTCCCAAGTGTATATTGATATTAGTGGTGGTTCGATTAATTGAAATAATCGAAGATTGGTTGCAGTGTCTAAACGACCAAGCAATTGATCATGTTTTCTCATAATCGAACACAAAACAATTCTGCAACACTTGTTTGCATTAACAATATTTTTCATAAGGTTGGTTTTGTCTGTTTCATTTCATGACCACTACAAGCTCGTTCCAAGTCATGATTGAATTTATCTTAAAGACTCCAAGAAATTAATGTTCAGTACCTACTAGTCATCCTCTAAAGATGTGAAATTTGCAAATGCATTTTGTGCAATTTGCAAAAACACAAAGAACTACATGTTTTTTTCTTTATTTTTTGTCCATTAACAAAAATAATCAGGAAAATTTCATAAACGACACTAACCAATTATTTTCGATGATTGATCGGTTGTAATGAATCAATCATCAATTATGAGATTTTAACCAATTCCCAGCACTAATTGATATATATCTGATGTATCTTATCCTTCCTGAACGTTGAGCAGTATAAAATGCTGGGTCTTGGACAATCTGACTGTTATTCTTTGACAGCGTGATTACTAACTACTATTGAAGATGTGACAGACATGCCGATTCTTTCATGTCGCTACAGTTAATTAGTCATACTATGTGATAATGTTACAGTAATCGATAAATAATATGGTCCTTATCTTCTGTTGAGTAGTGTATGCAAGAAACTGACATAAAATATGATACTTGGAGTAGTGAAGTGAATACCAGATGATCATTGTGAGATAAGAGTGAAGTGGTTACGACTTTCTCTCCCACATATCCTGCCGATGACGATCCGGACACGCTGATCCACATTAGACCACAGGGACAATAGTGACGACAGCGATTAGACAGATCAATTATCGCACTCAGTTTCTCTGATTTTTTAACACTACAAACGTTACTCAGATGACAGACTGAATTAGCAATTTTAGTGTCACTGAATTTTTAACACTTTTCACAAATTGTGGTAAAATGGAAAAACACCCACTACTTCTGTCTTCTAAAGCAACCATGATAGGGACACAAGTTTATTTGTTGTTTAAAGCTGCATTCAGTAATATTTCAGCAACTTGATGGCAGTCTGTACATAGGAGGTGAGGTGAAATTGGGTTTATCGTCGTGGTTGAGAATATTTCGCTCAAATGACGACGTGCATGCGTGTGTATGTGTATGTGAGGCTGCTTGTACTAGCCCAGACTGAAGCTGGTTTTATAGTGCTAGCCCACTGAGATACCATGCCGCAGTGAAGCATGAATACCCCACTCAGACACATTATACTGACTCCGAGCCGACCAGTCCTTGTTGTACCCATTAATGCCGAGCGCCAGGCAGGGACCAACAAGTACCATATTTTAACGTCTTTTGGTATGACATGGTCGGGGATCGAACCCGCGACCTTCCGCTCTCCGGGCGGACGCTCTAACCACTACACCACGGAGGCGGTTTCTGTACATAGGAGCCTGCATCAGTTTAGAGACTGACATTATGAGTATTCATCTACAGAATTGGGATACAATCCCATTTATCAAACACGTCATCAAGCATGACAAGACTCTGTTAATCACCTCATCCATGGGTCACTAAATACCAATGCCAATCCAGACTATCCATGAAGATCCGGGTTAGAATTTATCTTCAGCAACCCATGTTTGTCCTAAACTATGACACTAACGGGATCGGGTGGTCAGGTTTGCTGACTTGGTTGACACGTCATTGTATCTCAATTACATAGATCGATGTTCTTGATGTTGATCACTGGATTGTCTGGTCCAGACTCAATAATTTACAGACCCCCGCCATATAGCTGGAGTATTGCTGAGTGCAGCGTAAAACTAAACTTACTCACTCACTCACCCAACCCAGACCTTCATCGAGAGACAAGGATGCCAAGAAACGGCTTTGTACAGGGGAAGAGAAGATTTATCTTTCATGTGACTTTAACCCTTTGGCTACTAACAACTCACTCCAAGGATGAACAGCTAATACTTACATGGTTAAAATGATCAAGGCACTTATATAAAATACAATCTCTGAAGTCTCACTAGAAACAACAAATGCGGACATGTTTTTCAATTACTCTAATGAACAAGAGTGTAACATAATTCCCTGTGGCTGATTATCCAAATATGATAACGATTTGAATTTGCAGACAGGTCATATGTTAAAAGCTTTAACATGGTCATGAAGTGCTTATTCAGCAAATTTTTTCTCTATGGGTTTAATCAAACGATGACAAAGTGACATCTCGCTGAATTACTTAAGTAGGGTTTTTTTAAGTTGAACGATAAATATGCAAAGATATGACTTAATACAGGACACTGACACACAGGAATATCACATTAAGCGGATTTGTATCACAGAATTTCACAATTCATATCAAATTCACAATTCAAGTTTTCACATTGATATACATTGCATGCTTTAAGAACTCATTTTTGCAGTTACACAATTTCTTTGCCATCAAAGCATAGGTAGTTCCCTGCACGAGGTGTTATAATGAAAAAGAGATTGGACATATTCATTTGAGTGCTGATATTTTGTATAAAGTCACTGTTTCATTTCAATGTGAATCAGATTGAACAAGCTATGTCTGTTCTTTCTCTTAAATAATTCACTCAATATTATAGCTGTGATATAGTGACACCAACAAATTACCTGACTGCTCCACTTCTATTGTCACATAAACAAGAATATATGAAATTTATAGCATATGTGTTTATATGTACAACCCTCATATCACACCAGCCACATTTCATCCATCAGATAAATTGTCATCCCCATAAATGTTCACAAATGTTAATGCACACGTACAACACTCATATCCCATCAGCAATATTTCATCCTTCAGATTGATTGTCATCCCCATAAATGTTCATATATGTTGGTGTATAATCCTCGTATCACATCAGCAATATTTCATCCTTCATCAACAACTATAATGTCAATCGACAGTTGTATTGTTCATGTTAACATCAAACAATGCCCTGATTGTTCATGTTAACATCAAACAATGCCCTGATTGTTCATGTTAACATCAAACAATGCCCTGATTGTTCATGTTAACATCAAACAATGCCCTGATTGTTCATGTTAACATCAAACAATGCCCTGATTGTTCATGTTAACATCAAACAATGCCCTGATTGTTCATGTTAACATCAAACAATGCCCTGATCACTTACAATCAAAATCCACTTTGACAGAATTCAGCAGCATACAGAGAGACAAGTATTTGTGCAATCTTGTTTGTTGAAGCAGGACTATATGTAAAATTGACACTATCTTTTTGTAATTAGAGTAGTCAAATTGCTAAATTCATAAAAAGAATGTATGAGTGAGTGAGTGAGTGAGTAGAAACTGAACAACATGTCAGCAATACTTCAGCCATATCATGACAAGAAATTGAGTATAAATACTTAACATAATTAGACAAAATAAAAACCTGTCATTGAAACCTAACATATAGAATTGTTCAGGATAAGTTTTGAACTTGCCAGGATTGCAGTTGTGCCCATGCAGTAACATATATAAGGTCCAGACAGCAGGTTCATAACGCTTCATATCCTAGAGTCTTCATGTTCATGTCTCCTCCACACATCACCATCATGTACAATGAGGAAGATACCAGTAAAGTAATACTTACGACAGCTGATTTCATCCGATCCATCAGGGCAGTCGATCTGACCGTCACACCTGTATGAACCAATGACACACTCTCCATCGTTACAGGTGAACTGGTCTGCAGCACAGGTTCCAAGGGCTGTGTCTGGAGATGGTAAACAGCACAATACAGGTTCATAGTTAAAAAATCCATACATGATAATGATAATGAATTTATATAGCGCCTGTTTCCAAAATGTACTTGCTCAACAGCGCTGAAGAAGAAAGTCTGAAAGACTATGAGAGGGATATTGTGAACAGATGGGTTTCTAGGGCTTTTTTGAAAGAGTCTTTACATATACAGCTGTGATTGTCATAAGTGTGTGTGACAGTATGGGAGTAACAATTGTCTTACCATTATGATTTCTTTGTGGGACAAAGGCCTGCCTCTTTTATGGTGAACAGGAATTATGCAATGGGTCAATGAGTGAAAATACAATGGTTACCTTATAGGACATCAAAGTGAGTGTGATTAGTTTTTACACTAATTTTCAGGCTATTTCAGTAATATGACAGTATGGGAGATTTAATACTGCAGACAAACAGCAAGATTCTAACAGTTCAAAGTAGAATAAGTACAGCCTACATTTTGGGAGGTGACCTCTGATATTTCCTTCCCATCTTCCTGTGTGATGACAGTGCATGGGTTACCACAGACTGTGACATTTTATACCAATATAGGAACTGAACTTTGAGTGCAATACGCTAACTAGTGCACTAATACTTGGTCTACTCTCCTGCCTGGTTGCTAAGAATGTTTCAGGTCAAGAGAGTTCCTGTTCAGATGGCATTCCTTGGGTTCAAGATCGACTGAAGCAGCAGTAAAATGCCCCTTTGTCTATCTGAACAGAACAAAACATTACACTTGATTGTCCGGATTACTGAAGACTTACCGGTACCAAAAATAGCCTATCAGCTATATATTATATAGATAAATATTCAGTTCTGTTTAAAAGATGTTTTGTCATAATAAGAGTTCAAAAGCAACATGTGACATGGCTTAACCATCTTGTTCTGACATATACTACAGGAATCCATATTTGTATTTTACCAAGAACATGCCAAGGTCGGTAAGATTTGCGGGGACACATCCCCTTCATATATTCCTCTATTTATCACAGCATAGCTTGTTACCAAAACAAAGTAAGACCTTCGGAGTCACCAACATACATGCCTTCTATTTCTACTTTGTTCTGTTCCTTGAAACTAATCTTCTATCATATCGATCATATTATGGCTTGGAAACAAGACAGGTGCTGCACACATGTAGGAATCAAACCTAGGATCACAGTATCATGAACAAACACCTGAACCATTAAGCTACCCAAATGCCTCTTTAAACACAACCTCAGTCAAAGATATATTTCAGTGACAAAGTGTCAGCCTATAGTAAAGTCCTACTTCAGGCGTTTCACCTCTGTAGACATCTGATCGAATATACAGATCATACACATGTATTCTTTAGGATGAGAGTTCTGAAGTTCCTGTACAACTCATTATTTGAAGCTACAGCCCGTGTACCTGCAGATGTACATTGTAATGTATTACTCATCATCTCTCAAGCTCCAAGTCATCTTAGACCCTCTATTGTCTTTCTACAATCATCCAGTTTAATCATTCATTGCAAATTGTTCCTTTGACAAACAATGGATATCATTTATCTGCGTAGACAGTCACATCACAATGGTGTTAAATAATTACATTGTTTACCTTATGTGCCTAATTAAGTATATACATTGTATTGTCCACAAGCCACATTGAATAAATACATCGTAATCTCTACGTGAGACCGCATCATTAATTATACACACTACCCTTTGACCTTAAAATTCAAGAGAGGTGACCAAAGAGAGTGACACACAAAATGCAGTGTCATGATTGGACTGTAAATTGACCAATCAGTGTCAGACATCCATGGGCTTGTATAATGAAGCCAGAAACAAAAACTGCCAGCTCCACGAGAAGGGTGCCAGTTTCATGGCTGCAAACAGACAAAGCTTTAACAAACCAGTAAGGTAGCCTAATGGTTAATGTGTTTGCTCATTGGAAGTCAGCAGTTCAATCCCCCACAAGGGTACCATCTGTTTAGAAATCATCACTCTTGTGGTCAGTCTTGTGTGATATGGATAAAATATTGTTAAAAGGTAGTATCATATCACACATAATGACAAATTGTTACTTTGCATTTGCTGCTGACAACATCAGTTCTATTGTAAGAAAGCAAAATTTGTTGTGTTTTCCCTCATTAATCGGATAAAAAAAGGCCAAGATATCATTTTGTAATTTAAACTTTGGAGGGGGAGATACTAAACGATCCTAGGTGTAATACCATATTTATAAAATGAGTTAATGATTTGGCATCAAACGAGCAAAATGTGTTACTTATGTCAAACAGACAGGACTAAAACTTTGACAGTAGCCATTTTGATTTGTCATGTGATACATCACGTGATTGAAAGTAGTTCCAGCAGAATAAGGTCCACAATTGGTGGTACTACACTAGTGTAATATTATTGTATAAATATTACAGTGCAGTATCTTCCACAGGTGTGTAATAAACAGTATTTATTTCCTTCAATGTGATGTGCATATCGCTCATGTGACCATGATTTATATGTGCTTCAGTTGTCTCCCTTTTCTGTTAATCAATTGTTACAAATGAATCTGTGATAATACCCTTGTGATAAAAAAACCAATAAACCAAACCAAAACATTGTGATATTAATATATATAAATGAAATGTTTACAGGGTATTCCTCTGCTACTTCTCCTTCTTCCTGTGATCTAAAGAATAAATGGATTCACACCCTACAGCAAGTCATCGTGTTTTCTCGGCGTGGTAGCTGTGACCTATACAACATAAGCATTAGTTTGCTTATGGCGATATTTCAGTTACTCACAGCATGCCAACTCAGTTGACAAGCTGTATGTCTGACAAAAACACTAAAACGGAATAGACTAACACTTAATCTGTGAAAACATTACCTTGATAGAAACAATTAACTCTAATTTGAAAAGGCGCCCCAGTAAAAGGGAGATTCAAGCTGAAGCTATGGAAAGGTTATTTTGCATTACAGATGGGCTTGGGCAGAAGGGATATAATATGGCTTGGAGACTGTGAGACGGAGTGTAAGGGTACTCTTTCGTAGTTCTGCCAGTGAATATCTTTCAGAATATGCATAGTCTCTGAAAATATATCATTTTGAGAGAAACGAAGGATTCCATATAAAAGGAACCCCTAGTGAGGTGGGAGAATCGGACCCTAAGGCACCAACCCCTAGTGAGGTGGGAGAATCAGACCCTGAGGCACCAACCCCTAGTGAGGTGGGAGAATCGGACCCTAAGGCACCAACCCCTAGTGAGGTGGGAGAATCAGACCCTGAGGCACCAACCCCTAGTGAGGTGGGAGAATCGGACCCTAAGGCACCAACCCCTAGTGAGGTGGGAGAATCGGACCCTAAGGCACCAACCCCTAGTGAGGTGGGAGAATCGGACCCTAAGGCACCAACCCCTAGTGAGGTGGGAGAATCGGACCCTAAGGCACCAACCCCTAGTGAGGTGGGAGAATCGGACCCTAAGGCACCAAGAGATGTCGAGACAAGCTTTGTTTACTGTTATTTAGGGTTTTAGCAAGAGACAAGGGGCAGAGTGGAAGGGACGTCAAAATGGTTCAGGGACTGTAACACAGACTAGGTATGTTGCTGATGTGATCAGAAACCTTATCAGCCAAATATGGGATTGTAATAGGATCCTGCATGTCCAAGGGAAGCAACTTAACAGTTTACTGGCAAGCAGGAGGCACACATACCTGTTGGGGACACGCCAGCATAATCCATTATGGCACGGATGGCAAAGGTGGCATCAGTCTTGGAGTACGGCACACTCTCAATATTGAAAGGTATTCCTTCCTGGATCATGTCATCGTACAGCTCCACATAGTAATCTTGGAACATCTCATTCAATGATATAATATCATCCTCCAGTGTGGCACTAGCTATCACGTTATTGGGTGTTCCTCTGGGGTAGAAAATGCCGATAAAATCTCCACGTTGTACATTGATCGGGGTTTGAAGCTGCACAATTCTAATTCCAGTTGGGCCAGGAGGAAGTTCTGTCTTCCCCACCAGGGTAAATTCCGTATCTGTGACTTGTTTCCATACACCGACGTAAGCGACGCCAGTTGAGATGAGGCGGTAATATTCCCAGCCGACGACGTTTCCACTGCAGGGGAAGATGTTGTTGACGAGGAGGTTGGCCCAGTTGGTTCCGTTCCTAGGCAGTGATTCCGGTTCACGTCCGACAAAGCTTGGACAGGATACTGGCTCTGTGAACAGATATTTTCAACAGTAAGTCCATACATAATTTCTGTGTCACATGCAATGGAACTTCATTCCACAAAATGATCACTGCACCAATGTGATTGTAACTCCCATACTTTAACACTGGCGTACAAGTAGTGGGGCACTATGATATATTTGTGGAGCAGGGGCCAGGATGAGTTTATGTGAAGACAAATTTCCCTTGTTCCTCATCATGATAAAGCTGGAATATTGCTAGAAGAGGTGTAAAACATAACTTACTGATAAGCCCACACTTATGACAAGAGTACAGTGTTGTGAGCTGTTCAGTTCTGGAATCTCACATACATGTGATGCAGAAAATGCCAGTGATAATATATGTCTAATTTCATCATTTTCAGAAGACTGACTGACTGAGTTTGGTTTTACGCCGCTTTTAGCAATATTCCAGCAACATCACGGCGGGGGACACCAGAAATGGGCTTCACACATTGTACCCATGTGGGGATTCGAACCCGGGTCTTCGTGTGGACGAGCCAACGCTTTAACCACTAGGCTACCCCACCGCCCCATTTTCAGAATACAGTCTAGCGGAGTGAAGAGTGTAGTGGAGTGAAGATTATGTAGATAGTTGACATTGTAGATGAGCATAGACAGTTGAAAATGTAGATGGGTGTTGACAGTTGACAATTTGGATGGTTGACAATATAGAGGAATGTAAATGGTTGGCAGTTAGTTATTAGCGAGTTAACACAATAACAACAATAAAGTGTTTGGACTTGATTGCACGTGTCCTGGCTGTTTATCGTGGAGGCTGAACCTTCTCCATTGGAGGAGTGTAAATGGTTGGCACATTAACTGTACAAGGTTGTCAATTCAGAGAAGTGTGGACTGTTGACACTCTAGGTGTATGGGTTAACAATTTAGATGATTGTCGATGGTTGACAATTTAGATGATTATCAATGGTTGACAAGTTAGATGAGTGTGGATGGTTGACAGTTTAGATGATTATCAATGGTTGACAAGTTAGATGAGTGTGGATGGTTGACAATTTAGATGATTATCGATGGTTGACAAGTTAGATGAGTGTGGATGGTTGACAATTTAGATGAGTGTGGATGGTTGACAATTTAGATGATTATCGATGGTTAACAAGTTAGATGATTATCGATGGTTGACAAGTTAGATGAATGTGGATGGTTGACAATTTAGAGTAGCATAGATAACTGACAATGATAACAGTGCAGAGACTAGGGGAATATAATGTTCCTACTCTAAGAAATGAAAGACTTAATAAAATGTAAGATAAACTTCTTTGCTTTCACATGTTTATCAAAAACATCACATAACGAAAAGGCAAAATATTTGATAAAGTCACGTTCTGGTTAGTGATGATACAATGGTTGGTTCTGAGATCTAGCACTCTATCCTGTGAAGGCAACATAAACCTGTGCATTGTTTTGTACTGTGAAGAATTCTGGGACTTTGCCATGTACCAACACAAGTATATCAAGTTGCCCCAGCTTAGTCTGCCACTGGCTCAGAATAGAACAACTTGGAAAACACACAGGAATTCTCTAACCTGGCAGCAAGGCTGATATTGAACAAGGATGTGACAGTGCACACTCCACCTGTGTGTACACCCTTGTTTACCATGACAACCTTAATGTGCCAGGATATAACAGATTTATACACCATCAGTGTGCACTAAAGTTAGTTGATATGACATATATGTTCAGGATATAACTGAGTTATACTCTACTACTGTGTTCTGATGTTAGTTGATATGACATATATGTTCAGGATATAACAGAGTTATACTCTACTACTGTGTTCTGATGTTAGTTGATATGACATATATGTTCAGGATATAACAGAGTTATACTCTACTACTGTGTTCTGATGTTAGTTGATATGACATATATGTTCAGGATATAACAGAGTTATACTCTACTACTGTGTTCTGATGTTAGTTGATATGACATATATGTTCAGGATATAACAGAGTTATACTCTACTACTGTGTTCTGATGTTAGTTGATATGACATATATGTTCAGGATATAACAGAGTTATACTCTACTACTGTGTTCTGATGTTAGTTGATATGACATATATGTTCAGGATATAACAGAGTTATACTCTACTACTGTGTTCTGATGTTAGTTGATATGACATATATGTTCAGGATATAACAGAGTTATACTCTACTACTGTGTTCTGATGTTAGTTGATATGACATATATGTTCAGGATATAACAGAGTTATACTCTACTACTGTGTTCTGATGTTAGTTGATATGACATATATGTTCAGGATATAACAGAGTTATACTCTACTACTGTGTTCTGATGTTAGTTGATATGACATATATGTTCAGGATATAACAGAGTTATACTCTACTACTGTGTTCTGATGTTAGTTGATATGACATATATGTTCAGGATATAACAGAGTTATACTCTACTACTGTGTTCTGATGTTAGTTGATATGACATATATGTTCAGGATATAACAGAGTTATACTCTACTACTGTGTTCTGATGTTAGTTGATATGACATATATGTTCAGGATATAACAGAGTTATACTCTACTACTGTGTTCTGATGTTAGTTGATATGACATATATGTTCAGGATATAACAGAGTTATACTTACTACTACTATATGTTCAGGATGTGTGTTCTGATGTTAGTTGATATGACATATATGTTCAGGATATAACAGAGTTATACTCTACTACTGTGTTCTGATGTTAGTTGATATGACATATATGTTCAGGATATAACAGAGTTATACTCTACTACTGTGTTCTGATGTTAGTTGATATGACATTGATATGACATATATGTTCAGGATATAACAGAGTTATACTCTACTACTGTGTTCTGATGTTAGTTGATATGACATATATGTTCAGGATATAACAGAGTTATACTCTACTACTGTGTTCTGATGTTATTGATATGACATATATGTTCAGGATATAACAGAGTTATACTCTACTACTGTGTTCTGATGTTAGTTGATATGACATATATGTTCAGGATATAACAGAGTTATATAACAGAGTTATTCTACTACTGTGTTCTGATGTTAGTTGATATGACATATATGTTCAGGATATAACAGAGTTATACTCTACTACTGTGTTCTGATGTTAGTTGATATGACATATATGTTCAGGATATAACAGAGTTATACTCTACTACTGTGTTCTGATGTTCGTTGATATGTTATGTTCAGGATATAACAGATTATACTGTGTTCTGATGTTACTACTATGTGTTCTGATGTTGTTCTGATGTTGATATGACATATATGTTCAGGATATAACAGAGTTATACTCTACTACTGTGTTCTGATGTTAGTTGATATGACATATATGTTCAGGATATAACAGAGTTATACTCTACTACTGTGTTCTGATGTTAGTTATATATGTATAATGTGTTCAGGACATACCAGATTCGTATTCCACCAGTGTGTATATAGTACATAAGCATTACTCTGTTACTGAATATGTATAAGAAGAGACTCACCTTCAAATTGTCTAAAATCAAATCCTTCAGGGCTGACCCTGTACGGTCCGATATAACCACTTTTGATGGCATCTTCAATAATTTGCCTCAAGGCATCTGGATTATCAAATCCCTGAGATCCGAGATCAAATGAAACCATAAGAGATCCTTTGCTGAAACATACAAAGAAGGAAAGGGTCAGATGACTGTGTCACCATAGAACCAAACTCAGGGAATACTGTGTTTTTACCAAGCACACGCTTCAAACTTGGCAGTGAGGAAGATCTCAGTCTACTTTCATACGCTTGTCAAATTCAGAAAGTTATATCCCAATTTCACAAACAACCGTAAATAATAATATATTTCAAGCATATTTCTTGATTTTCACTGAATTGTTGTGTGGGTGATTTTATTCCCACTTCATTTACTCCTGTGTTCACAGAGCCAGAGCTTCAGTGTGATGCTGAAGGACAAGACAGGTCAATTCATAGAGTGAGTGAGTTAAGTTTCAAGGTGCTGTTAGCAATATTCCAGCAATTTCACGGTCAGGGACACCAGAAATGGGCTTCACACATTGTACCCATGTGGGGAATCGAACCCGGGTCTTCGGCATGATGAGCGAAAGGTTTAACCACTAGGCTACCCCACCACCCCATATTCATAGAAGTAGCATGCTGGACTCAAGTTTGTCTCTAAACAGTTATTGTGTGTATCAAACTAGCTGGCAATGATCATATCATATAACATGAAAATAATGTTTCAGGAAAGTCTCTCAAAAGTCCATTGTTTCTCAATCTTACAGATTAAATGTTTTCCCTGCATTTGTCCAGGGCGGTGTTCCTCAAAGCAATCGTAGGTCTAAGGCAATCATAACACTTCAAACCACGCTTACGACAGTCAGAGTACTAAGATAAATGAGGCCTTCTGTGTTTCGTATGTGCTCCTCTGCCAAGTCTCTCCACAAACAGTCCAAAAAGTTTTAAAAACTGTGCTATTTAAGTCCCTACAACACATACAATACTGGAAGAGCACTCAGGCGTTATGGTGATGTGCACCAGTGCCAACAGTTTACACAGAAAGTATGGGTAAAACGTAAGTGTTTCATCGTCAGGGAGCATTCATTCCTCTGATTGCAAGAGAGTTATTGTTTGATTTAATTATTGTTTTAGGAGTTAAACTGGCTGGAAAGGGAGTGAATTCTGATTTACTGACACATATGGTGTTGTCGGTGCATGAAAACATGATCAATTGGTTGGGAAATTATTAAATTCAACAGAGGCCAAGTGTCATTCAGATTTTCGTGTGACATATGTGCAGTGGTAGGCATGGGATAACAACTCTCTTGTCAGCAAATGTTGGAAAAATTACCTACATTACCACTCGTCTAAAGGCCAGTACTATTGAAATTCCAACTCAAATGCAATAATTGATTAATGACGTATATTTTTCTAATGATGCATTTGTGAAAATATTTGGCTGAATACACAACAATGGACAATTCCCAAATATAGATGATTGGAGTAGGTGTGTGAGTATAAACACACAAAAAAGTAACAAACCACAAAAATTTGGCATTTGTAGAGACAACAGTGTAGTCTTTTAAAATAGTGACGTCATGTGACCAGTGTCATGTGATCAGTGTCATGTGAACACTGGACTAACCACATGGGTGCAACCTATCCCAGAGTGCAGCACATGTATCCAGCTGCCTGCTGGGTATAAACCACTATCAACATTTAGCATAGAAACAAATATACAGTTTATGTAGAGTATCAGGATAAAATATGAGAGAATAGTGAATTTCAACATTTTGACATTATGTGAAGGTTGCACGGCTTGTAATTACTTTGTGGACAAGCTACACACATTTCAACACATTGACCACACCCACAACATGGTGGGACTCCCAGTCACAGTTGCAAGGAGTGAAGAGTGGTTGCCATGTCGACCTGTACACAGGAAGCCACAAACATTCATAGTAGGTTTATACATGGTGTCAGGATTATCTCGCAGAAAATAGTCAGTGACACATTAAATATCAGAACTGTTTAAAAAATGTACATAACTCTACACAGAACAGTGTTCAGCAATCTTAATCATTTCAACAACTTCCAAAGACTGGATATAAAAAATATTTCTTAGCAACGGACTGGGTGTGGACTTTTGGTGAAGTGTTCAAAATGGTGGTATGAAAGGAGAACGTGCATGCAGTGAAATATCAGGATGTTGAATTCAAACATCTGAACAAACTTAAAATATTTCAGCTTCAAAGAAAATCTGGTTGATCACTTACTAGTCTCGTGGGATGGGAGAATTTTTATTTCTTCAATAAATGCATGAAAGAATAGAGAAAAAACACATGTAAAACGTAAACAATTTCCACAGAGCATACTTTTGAGCTTCTAATGTTGTTTGGATGACTGCAGTATGTGCCAACTGCACTGACTGGCCCACCAAACACAGTAAAAATTGGCTGTTTTCCACAAATATTTTGATACCCTAAAACATTACATTTCAAAGTGAACCCACAATGAGGCACTTTACTTTCAAATCAACAATCCCCTGAAATACCAGTATTAATTTTTACCTCATACGATTTATTGTTTCAAAAAAATTAAAATATTGAGAACTGGTACAACACTACTTTTCAGTGAGGATGAATAATAACCCAATAAACGACCTGGGAGGTTATGAAACAACTGATGTCAAACATCCAGGTCAGACTCCACACCCAGAACAATCTCATTGTGCTCAGCAAAATTTAAAATCTGTTAAGGAATTCCTACCCAATATTCATGAGTGAGTTTAGTTTTACACCTTTTAGCATTTACACATTTCAGCAATATCACCGCCAGATATGGGCTTCACACATTGTACCCATGTGAGGAATCGAATCCCGGTCTTCGGCATGATGAGCAAACGCTTTAACCACTAGGCTACCCCACCGCCCCACACAACATTCATGCCTCTGCATAACATTATTTCATTGTATCAAGTTGTATCAAGTGTTAAAACATTAAGAGTTATAAAGTAGTCTAGTTATAATCTGTTGGTTATGGGAACGTAAGAGAGGTCACTTGAATTTGGAAAAGAAACAACAGCAATCTTCAGTTATCTTTAAGTAGGAATTACTGAATGCAAACTTTGGAGATTGTCATGAAATGTTTATATCATATTGATCAACATATTTCAATGAATAGGCATTCAATGTGAATAAAGTGGAATTTAAAAACAGCAAATTTGGAGTAATTTTTAAAATGTTTTTTTTTTAAGAATAACACAAGTATGGGTACCCCAATATTTGTTTCTTTATCATCATACTCAAAGGCACAATTCTAAATACTTAGGTTTCTGCAAGGGATACCTGCTTTCCTGATAATCATACCAAGTCAAATATCACATAAAAAGCAAACATTCCTATTCTACACTAGTATACATATTCATTTTCATGATTTTTTTTATCATATTGACAAAACACTAGAATTCACTGATATCCATAACAGAACAGAAACAAGTGAATCTCAACCCGTATCCACACAAGCTAATGATACAGACAAGTAGATATATATATTTCCACATGCCTCCCAGGGAGATAACACTTTTTATACACCACCAATGCTAACTGGAACAGAAGTTGAAAGATAGACACCATTATACCTCTCCTTTCACATTATGGGAACTCTAGATCACTTAGTGACTCATCAAGTACAGAGCAGTTTTCATTTCTGATCATCGTCACATAGAAGTTGGCAGGGAGCAAACATCCATGCAATGTACATAGGAATACAAACACGATGTCCTTCTGGTTGATGAGTTTAATAGTGGTGCTTCAAACACTCCCACAGCTGGTGAACGCTATTCACATTTCTAGAGTCTAGTGGTCTGTATTTGGATAAACCCAGAAACTAAATCTTTTCAAAAGACATCTTTCAAACATTCATTTGTCAAGTTTGTAAAAGTAAAAGATTTTAACAACAGAGAGTTAAATATCCTCCATGTGCTCACCTCTGTCCACTACATACAATGTCACTGTGTTTAACTGCATGTGTCCTCTCAGTTTCATTCAATATGTTCATGGCAACATGGGGTATTTCATTTGGAGTTCAAAGCATTTTTAGGAGTGAGATCATTGGGGGATGGCTGCAGTTTGAAGGAAAATTATTAACCAAAGGCATTTCAGAAAATGACCAATTTATTGGCATTCCAAAGCCTAAACTCACTGTCGTGAGGGTAGCAGCCTCTGTGGTCATTCTTTGGTTTCAACACACTATTCTGTTTGGCTATGAAGTTTACTACCTACTTACTATCCACTACCCTGTATCACTACCTGCAGCTATATTTCACTTTAGGAGTATTTAATATACACTTCATGTACAAGTAATATACATCATAGACTGGTCTAGGCCACTGGCCTACTGTGTGACATTGTTTTTGTTATCTCATGGTAAAATCTCACTTAAGGTCCAATCACTTGGTGTATCATATATAGTGAATACTGAATTGTTTTGCTTCCCATGCTGTAATTAACGTATCTCCCTGATTCTCTTATCACTATGTTGAACAGTTACTTCTAACAATGTTGGGGGCAGTGGGGTAGCCTAGTGGTTAAAGCGTTCGCTCGTCACACCGAAGACCCAGGTTCGATTCCCCACATGGGTACAATGTGTGAAGCCCATTTCTGGTGTTTCCCCCGCCGTGATGTTGCTGGAATATTGCTAAAAGCGGCGTAAAACCAAACTCAGTCAGTCAGTCAGTCTAACAATTTAGATAATGAAGTATTTCTAATCCTATGCAATAATGAACATATCTATTATAGCTAGCTTTTCCAGAGTAGATAATGAAGTATTTCTAATCCTAGGCAATAATTAACTTATCTATTATAGCTAGCTTTTCCAGAGTAGATAATGAAGTATTTCTAATCCTAGGCAATAATGAACATATCTATTATAGCTAGCTTTTCCAGAGTAGATAATGAAGTATTTCTAATCCTAGGCAATAATGAACATATCTATTATAGCTAGCTTTTCCAGAGTAGATAATGAAGTATTTCTAATCCTAGGCAATAATGAACATATCTATTATAGCTAGCTTTTCCAGAGTAGATAATGAAGTATTTCTAATCCTAGAGCAAATAATGAACATATCTATTATTATAGCTAGCTTTTCCAGAGTA